ATTTGATCCCCTGCTGATTTTGTACGTTTGCCCACTGACAAAGACATGATCAGTCAATAATTTTAAAGGTAGGTTTATTTGAACAGTGAGAAACAGAAAAACAACAAAAACTCCTGAAAAACGCATGTCAAAAATGTTATAAATTGATTTGCATTTTAATTAGGGAAATAAGTATTTGACCCCCTCTCGATCAGAAAGATTTCTGGCTCCTTGGTGTCTTTTATACAGGTAACGAGCTGAGATTAGGAGCACACTCTTAAAGGGAGTGCTCCTAATCTCAGTTTGTTACCTGTATAAAAGACACCTGTCCACAGAAGCAATCAATCAATCAGATTCCAAACTCTCCACCATGGCCAAGACCAAAGAGCTCTCCAAGCATGTCAGGGACAAGATTGTAGACCTACACAAGGCTGGAATGGGCTACAAGACCATCGCCAAGCAGCTTGGTGAGAAGGTGACAACAGTTGGTGCGATTATTCGCAAATGGAAGAAACACAAAATACCTGTCAATCTCCCTCGGCCTGAGGCTCCATGCAAGACCTCGTGGAGTTGCAATGATCATGAGAACGGTGAGGAATCAGCCCAGAACTACACGGGAGGATCTTGTCAATGATCTCAAGGCAGCTGGGACCATAGTCACCAAGAAAACAATTGGTAACACACTACGCCGTGAAGGACTGAAATCCTGCAGCGCCCGCAAGGTCCCCCTGCTCAAGAAAGCACATATACAGGCCTGTCTGAAGTTTGCCAATGAACATCTGAATGATTCAGAGGAGAACTGGTTGAAAGTGTTGTGGTCAGATGAGACCAAAATCAAGCTCTTTGGCATCAACTCAACTCCCCGTGTTTGGAGGAGGAGGAATGCTGCCTATGACCCCAAGAACACCATCCCCACCGTCAAACATGGAGGTGGAAACATTATGCTTTGGGGGTGTTTTTCTGCTAAGGGGACAGGACAACTTCACCGCATCAAAGGGACGATGGACGGGGCCATGTACCGTCAAATCTTGGGTGAGAACCTCCTTCCCTCAGCCAGGGCGTTGAAAATGGGTCGTGTATGGGTATTCCAGCATGACAATGACCCAAAACACACGGCCAAGGCAACAAAGGAGTGGCTCAAGAAGAAGCACATTAAGGTCCTGGAGTGGCCTAGCCGGTCTCCAGACCTTAATCCCATAGAAATTCTGTGGAGGGAGCTGAAGGTTTGAGTTGCCAAACGTCAGCCTCGAAATCTTAATGACTTGGAGAAGATCTGCAAAGAGGAGTGGGACAAAATCCCTCCTGAGATGTGTACAAACCTGGTGGCCAACTACAAGAAATGTCTGACCTCTGTGATTGCCAACAAGGGTTTTGCCACCAAGTACTAAGTCATGTTTTGCAGAGGGGTCAAATACTTATTTCCCTCATTAAAATGCAAATCAATTTATAAAATTTTTGACATGCGTATTTCTGGATTTTTTTGTTGTATTTCTGTCTCTCACTGTTCAAATAAACCTACCATTAAAATTATAGACTGATCATGTCTTTGTCAGTGGGCAAACGTACAAAATCAGCAGGGGATCAAATACTTTTTTCCCTCAATGTACATTTGTATCCACGACTAAAAACACTAGCGCCTGGGGCAAGAGTTCCCTCCAGACTCTCTCTTTTTCTCGCTCTCTCTTTTCTTCAGGGGTGAATGTTTTTCTCGGGGACAAAGGGAGGTTGTTCACTCCACGCATTCATCGTATCCACATGAAACTCTTGTATAATGATCCACCCTCTGGCCATATCTCTAAACCCTACTCTGTGTACTGTATGTCAACACATCCTCAGTCCACCTCTTAATCTATTGTATCGATCTATCCATCGCTTTCTCTCTCTATATATATATATACACCTACTCATTCAAGGGTCTTTCTTTATTTTTACTATTTGCTACATTGTAGAATAATAGTGAAGACATCAAAACTATGAAATAACACCTGTGGAATCATGTAGTAACCAAAAAAAGTGTTAAACAAATCAAAATATATTTTATGTTTGAGATTCTTCAAATAGCCACCCTTTGCTTTGATGACAGCTTTGCACACTCTTGGCATATATATATATATATTCTCCATTGTCCCAATTCGCCCTTCTCTCGCTCTCGATCTGCATGTGCATCTCTCTCCATCTCACTCTTGAAGTTTGATTTGAGACTGTTGAAATGCAGTTTGCAAAAAAAAGTATACTGATAAGAAGTTGTTCAAAAGAGTATAAAAAAGGTACATTCCCACACCTCTGCCTATTGGTGCTTTTGTGGTGTACAATATCTGAGAAGGATTTTCATTTTGGGTCTTAAGTTCCTATTCTCCCAATGTAACCTACAGTAACTCATGTTTACCCTCCAAATGTTATTTGGTCCAAGCGCCAAACAATATACAAAAACACTCTCTGAAGACAAAGAAGGGTGTTGTGTGAAACAAGTGATGCTTCTGTTGCTCCGTTTTCAACAAGGGGCATCCAGCTTCCCTGTAGCGAGCCCTGAGTGTGTGCTTGTGTGTGCTTGGGTATGTGTGCTTGTGTCTGTGTGAAGACAGAGCCCCAGGACTTCCCATTGCCACTCTGTAGGGGTGGTGTGTCATTCTGTGTTCTCTGTCAGGAGCTTAAACCTCTTTTAATTTGATTCTAATAGTCTATTTTTCTGTTCAAAGGCCAGGGGTCAAAGGTTAGTCCCTTGGGCAGCCTTGGGCTGGAGTTAGGACCCAGGGCTAGGTGGCAGGGGCACACTAGACATTACTAAGCTATGCGTGTGTGGCCTAGGTCACACGACATGATTCGGCAGGACTGGGAACATGGCTTAGGGCTATTGGGGTGAAAGATCAGACTCTCTGTTGGATGCCCAAGGAGGGGTCCTAGTTGAGACTGTATTCACTAGGATGAAGAATCATCACTTGTTTCAGACAACATACTTACAACACCATTGTCCTAAAGCATGGGTATCAAAGTCTTTTTGCCAATGGGGACATTTCTTTAAAGGCAAACGTCAGGAGGGCTGCAGTTGGCGGGAAGAAATACTTTGTCAACTAAAGGTATTTTTTGCTTTATTTTCCTTTATTATTTTTCTTACAAATAAACCAACGATATACTTACATGCCCGCAGTATATTGCCTATGTATTCTTATGTTTTACAACTGCTAATATTTTCTAATAAGGTGTGATAGAAAGGAGGAAGTAGAAGGGTGAGGCCTGGGGAGGGAAGGGAGAACATGAGTTATGGAGCTGGGGAGGAGGAGGACTGAGGAAGAAGATTTAGGGTGTGAGAGAGTGATTGGGAAACAGTCACTCCTTCATAGGATGGCAGTAATGTTATTAGCTCCTTTGGTTGATAACAGCCTGTATGTCTCTGCCCAGACAGACAGACAAACACCAGAGCATTATCTCCTCTCCTCTCCATACAGTTTGGTAAGAAAGGACACTTTGTTTACAGCGCAGGCGACATTACTGAACGCATGCACGCACACAAAACCACAATGTTACACTCACTCATCTTGGTGAAAGAGACTGGATAAGTGAAGCATAACTGTATAAACATGGTCTAGGGTTTATGGACTCAGTCTGAAGACTGGAATGCGCTCTATTCTCTCTAGAAAAACACACAAACACACTCATACCATGTCCCTGTGGTGGGACTCCTGTGAGTTACTAGAAGGTTTGTGCATCTCTTGCAGAGAGGTGAGAGAGCGGATATGAGCAGGGGACCACTTATTCTAACTAATTTCGATGATTAGGACGAATGCAATGCTCTCCCTCTCTCTACCTCCATCCCTCCCTATCTCTCGCTCTCTCTCTCTACCTCTGGGACGGTGATCAATCACAGGCGTAAACCCATCTGGTACTGACGGTATTATGGCAACCAACAGTACAGTTCTTGTAAAATAGCCACAGGTGTGGAGAGAATATAGCTCCTACAGAATCTAATATATTATTATCTCCCAAACCATGGTTAAGATGAAAAATACAGGATTTTGAACTCCATAACTCTAATCAGGAAAAATCCAGGTAAACCTAACCTTTCAGCCAGTTTTTAGTTGGATAGAGGAATTACTGTAAAATGGCTGAAAGCTATAATCTGGGAGGTCTTGCCCTGACTCCTGTCCCATGGTGACAAGATACACCCCAGCCACAGTCGTAACAGGGCATCGTGTTCCACGGTCATAAAATATGTTCTTGTTCACTTTATTGAACAATAAATAAGTTTTAAGCAGCTATCCCGCTGGCATACACTAAATTCTATCCACTGCATTGTTCATTCTCTCTCTCGGAAGAAGGGAGGGGTCAAGCGGAGGCAGTAATCACTGTAACGAATGACCGTGCTCAAGGATTTAGAGTTGTTAGACTGTGGTCTGCGCACGGAGCCAGTAGGGTAACGGGACCAGAAAAGGATAGAAGTCTGTACCATCAAATTGGAGCAATGACCAAGGACATTTTGATTCATTTTCTATAACTTTTTGGGCTATTTTACCTGTTTTTGTCTCACTGAGATATAAAATCTATTTCAACTTTAAACCTAGCAGAGCACACATGCAAACAATTACCAGACAAGGATCAACATCAAAACATCATGTGAAAGTGGGAAGAGAATTAATGAGGAGAGTTTGGACAAGATGACCATGACATAAATTGGAATAATTATCTTCAGTTGTTTTCTGTAACCACTACTGCCCCTCTATATAAATTGGAGAAGTCATTTTCAAACATTTTATTCTTAACTAGGAGAGTAGGCCTACCAAAGCAAACTGTTACTCAAGGTATCTTTAGAGAAGCATTTTTCCATCTTGCAGGTAAGAAAAGCGTTTTACTGACATTCACCTGCTCATGTCTCGTTACATTGAACTCTTAGCTGCAATTGGGGGGATATTTTAGGCTATCTGATTCTTCAAATTCAGGGCTATTGGAAAATGTTTAGTTTTTAAATGATAGCCTAAAGTTTTCATGTTTCAGAGCAGCCAAGGACTCCTGAGACATCGGGATTGATTATGACAAAGACCTTATTCATCTGTTTCCCGCTGGTTCTACTGGCGGGACACCTCCTCGTGGTTATCGGACAAGCCAATGAGCCCAACCAACCGTCGGTTTCCCATGACGTGCTGCCAGAAGTCCTGCTGTCCGCCACACAGAAACCAGTAGTCTCTGGTAGAGAGAGTCTGGTGAGGTTCAACGGCAATGTCTCCGCTCCTCGGCACATGCGCCCTTTACCTCCAATGTGCTCGGGACCTACCGAGATCAGAGACACATTTAAGTACATCAACACTGTAGTATCGTGTCTCGTGTTCATCGTCGGTATTATCGGGAACTTCACGCTCCTCAGAATCATCTACAATAACAAGTGCATGCGCAATGGCCCCAATATTCTCATCGCCAGCCTGGCGCTGGGAGACCTGCTGCACATTGTGATCGATATTCCCATCAATGTGTACAAGGTGAGAACAATCAAGCACACACCAACATAAGATACACACACGCATGCACCATGCGCACACATCCACACGCACACACAGTCTGGTCAAGTGAGAAATAGGCTGTAGTGTAATATTGGGCCAAAGATATTTTCTCTGTCCACATACATCTTACCCGGTCGTACAATAGCAATACAAATTGAATGATGTAACTTATCCAACTACTTTGAGGACGTATAGTATTCCACGTCTTTATCTGAGACCGGGTTGCTTGTTGCGCTATAACAACAAAGGAGAATTATGACAGGGAGAATTGACGTTGGTGGTTAGGGGAACTAAACGACAAAGGTTAGGTGAATTTACGTAGCAGGTTAGGTGAATTGGGTTTAGTTTAGAATAAGGGTTAGGGGAAGAGTTAGCTAAAATGCTACAGTTGTCCCCGATGCGACTCGAACATGCAACCTTTGGATTGCTAGACTGTCGCGGATTACGCTCACCCATCCTCCCTACTTTCGTTTCTGTATCATACACTGAGTATACAAAACATTAAGGACACCTGCTCTTTCCATGACATAGACTGACCAGGTCAATCCAGGTGAAAGCTATGATCCTTTATTGATGTCACTTGTTAAATGCACTTCAATCAGTGTAGATGAAGGGGAGGAGACAGGTTAAAGGATTTTTAAGCCTTGAGACAATTGAGAGATGGATTGTGTATGTGTGCCATTCAGAAGGTGAATGGGCAAGACAAAAGATTTAAGTGCCTTTGAAAGAGGTATGGTAGTAGGTGCCAGGCACAACGGTTTGTGTCAAGAACTGCAACGCTGCTGGGTTTTCACACTCAACAGTGTCCCGTGTGTATCAAGAATGGTCCACCACCCAAAGGTAGCTAGGTCGCTGTATCACAGTAGCTAGGTCGCTGTATCACAGTAGCTTGGTCGCTGTATCACAGTAGCTAGGTCGCTGTATCACAGTAGCTAGGTCGCTGTATCACAGTAGCTAGGTCGCTGTATCACAGTAGCTAGGTATCTGTATCTCAGTACCTATACTACATGGCCAAAAGGTGTGTGGACACCTGTTCGTTGAACATCTAATTCCAAAGTTATGGGCATTAATATGGAGTTGGTCCACCCTTTGCTGCTGTAATAGCCTCCACTCTTCTGGGAAGGCTTTCCACTAGATGTTGGAACATTGCTACGGGGACTTGCTTCCATTCAGCCACAAGAGCATTAGTGAGGTCGGACACTGATGTTGGGGGATTAGGCCTGGCTCGCAGTCGGCGTTCCAATTCATCCCAAAGGTGTTTCTTGGGGTTGAGGTCAGGGCTCTCTGCAGGCCAGTCAAGTTCTTCCACACCGATCTCGACAAACCATTTCTGTATGGACCTCGCTTTGTGCACGGGGGCATTGTCATGCTGAAACAGGGAAGGGCCTTCCCCAAACTGTTGCCACAAAGTTGGAAGCACAGAATCATCTAGAATGTCATTGCATGCTGTAGCGTTAAGATTTCCCTTCACTGGAACTAATGGGCCTAGCCAGAACCATGAAAAACAGCCCCAGACCATTATTCCTCCTCCACCAAACTTTACAGTTGGCACTATGCATTGGGGCAGGTAGCGTTCTCATGGCATCTGCCAAACCCAGATTCGTCCGTCGGACTGCCAGATAGTGAAGCGTGATTCATCACTCCAGAGAACACGTTTATACTGCTCCAGAGTCCAATGGCGGCGAGCTTTACACCACTCCAGCCGACGCTTGGCATTGTGCATGGTGATCTTAGGCTTGTGTGCGGCTGCTCGGCCATGGAAACCCATTTCATGAAACTCCTGACGACGCTGCTTCCAGAGGCAGTTTGGAACTCGGTAGTGAGTGTTGCAACCGAGGACAGGCTAATTTTACGTGCTACACGCTTCAGCACTCGGCGGCCCCGTTCTGTGAGCTTGTGTGGCCTACCACTTCGCGGCTGAGCTGTTGTTGCTCCTAGACGTTTCCACTTCACAATAACAGCACTTACAGTTGACCGGGGCAGCTCTAGCAGGGCAGAAATTTGATGAACTGACTTGTTGGAAAGGTGGCATCCTATGACCGTGGCACGTTGAAAGTCACTGAGCTCTTCAGTACGGGCCATTCTACTTCCAATGTTTCCTATAGAGATTGCATGGCTGTGTGTTCTAGGATAATGTTTGTCTGTAATAAAGCCCCTTTCGTGGGGAAAAACTCATTCTGATTGGCTGGGCCTGGCTCCCTAGTGGGTGGCCCTCCCAGGCCCACCCATGGCTGCACCCCTGCCCAGTCATGTGAAATCCATAGATTAGGGCTTAATGAATTTATTTAAATGAACTGATTTCCTTATATCAACTGTAACTCAGCAAAACCTTTGAAATTGTTGCGTTTACATTTTTGTTCAGTATATGTATATTTGGCTATGGTTGGTAGGTGTGTGTGTGTGTGTGTGAGCGAGTGAGCGAGAGACGCATTCCATGTCATTTCAGCAAGCCATTACACCCACCATCTCAGATTGTTCTGAAATCGTTTCTGTAGTTAGAAACAGATAAGATGAGCATTCCTGAAACATTATTTTGTTGAAATATAATTTGATCTCTGAGATATTAAGCTAATTGATTGCACCCAAATTGGCCAATTTAATTTATGGGATTCATATAATATTCAATAAATATAGTATCTAACATCCGATTCGGACACAACTAACAATGAGTAAGACATGAGGAATGCACCATTGACTTGCATTGAATTTGTGCCACAAATGATAAAAAGTTAACATTTGAAAAACAGTGGACAACAAAACCAAAGCATGGATTACTGTCATACCTTGTCCATAGACTGCTTAAAGGGTAGGAAACCAATATGTAATTTTGTAAATTGGGTGAACTATCCCTTAAACATTGAGGGGGAGGGGGGATTTAAAAAAAACACACAAACAAACAACGACATCACACTTGCCCAGACCCACCTGCTCCCCCCCCCCATCTCCAGACCCACCTGCTCACCCCCCCCATCTCCAGACCCCGCACACTACTCTCTGCTCACCCCCCCCCCCCCCCCATCTCCAGACCCACCTGCTCACCCCCCCCATCCACTCCAGACCCACCTGCTCCACCCCCCCCCATCTCCAGACCCACCTGCTCACCCCCCCCATCTCCAGACCCACCTGCTCACCCCCCATCTCCAGACCCCGCACTACTCTCTGCTCACCCCCCCCCCATCTCCAGACCCACCTGCTCACCCCCCCATCTCCAGACCCACCTGCTCACCCCCCCCATCTCCAGACCCACCTGCTCACCCCCCCCCCCCCCCCCCCCATCTCCAGACCCCGCACTACTCTCTGCCACCTGGCCTCAAACTGCAACATTTAGAAAGAAACTGCACTCAAACTGCACCGACGGAGAGAAACATAATGGTGCAGATCACGCACTGATTATTTTTATCCACAACAAGTCCGTTTGGTGGAAACACACCACTGGTGGATTTTGGAATATTCGCATGAAAATCTGTCGCTAATTGGATAGAAACCTTGCTACTGACTAATTTCTCTGAACAGGGGGGAAAAAAACATCACCCCTGGATGACGTTCAAGTGGTAGACCATTCTTAGTACACACGGGAAACTGTTGAGCGTGAAAAGCACAAACCGGTGCGCCTGGCACCTACTACCATACCCCGTTCAAAGGCACTTAAATATTTTGTCTTGCCCATTCACCCTCTGAATGGCACACAACATCATTGAAAATCATTGAAAATCGCTTGAAAATCATTCTTCAACCTGTCTCCTTCCTTCCTTTCATCTACACTGATTGAAGTGGATTTAACAAGTGACATCAATACGTTTTGAGAATGACACAAATACACATTTTCACAAAGTCTGCTGCCTCAGTTTTGATGATGGCAATTTGCATATACTCCAGATTGTCATGAAGAGTGATCAGATGAATTGCAATTAATTGCAAAGTCCCTCTTTGCCATGAAAATGAAGTTAATCCCAAAAAAACATTTCCACTGCATTTCAGCCCTGCCACAAAAGGACCAGCTGCCATCATGTCAGTGATTCTCTCGTTAACACAGGTGAGAGTGTTGACGAGGACAAGGCTGGAGATCACTCTGTCATGCTGATTAAGTTAGAATAACATAATGGAAGCTTTAAAAGGAGGGTGGTGCTTGAAATCATTGTTCTTCCTCTGTTAACCATGGTTACCTGCAAGGAAACACGTGCCGTCATCATTGCTTTGCACAAAAAGGGCTTCACAGGCAAGGATATTGCTGCTAGTAAGATTGCACCTAAATCAACCATTTATCGGATCATCAAGAACTTCAAGGAGAGAGGTTCAATTGTTGTGAAGAAGGTGTCAGGGCGCCCAAGAAAGTCCAGCAAGCACCAGGACCGTCTCCTAAAGTTGATTCAGCTGCGGGATCGGGGTACCACCAGTGCAGAGCTTGCTCAGGAATGGCAGCAGGCAGGTGTGAGTGCATCTGCACGCACAGTGAGGTGAAGACTTTTGGAGGATGGCCTGGTGTCAAGAAGGGCAGCAAAGAAGCCACTTCTCTCCAGGAAAAACATCAGGGATAGACTGATATTCTGCAAAAGGTACAGGGATTGGACTGCTGAGGACTGGGGTAAAGTCATTTTCTGGGGCATCCGGAAAACACCTTGTCCGGAGAAGACAAGGTGAGCGCTACCATCAGTCCTGTGTCATGCCAACAGTAAAGCATCCTGAGACCATTCATGTGTGGGGTTGCTTCTCAGCCAAGGGAGTGGGCTCACTCACATTTTTGCCTAAGAACACAGCCATGAATAAAGAATGGTACCAACACATCCTCCGAGAGCAACTTCTCCCAACCATCCAATAACAGTTTGGTGACGACTAATGCCTTTTCCAGCATGATGGAGCACCTTGCCATAAGGCAAAAGTGATAACTAAGTGGCTCGGGGAACAAAACATCGATATTTTGAGTCCATGGCCAGGAAACTCCCCAGACCTTAATCCCATTGAGAACTTGTGGTCGATCCTCAAGAGGCGGGTGGACAAACAAAAACCCACACATTCTGACAAACTCCAAGCATTGATTATGCAAGAATGCGCTGCCATCAGTCAGGATGTGGCCCAGAAGTTAATTGACAGCATGCAGGGTGGATTGCAGAGGTCTTGAAAAAGAAGGGTCAACACTGCAAATATTGACTCATTGCATAAACTTAATGTAATTGTCAATAAAAGCCTTTGACACTTATGGAATGCTTGTAATTATACGTCAGTATACCATAGTAACATCTGACAAAAATATCTCATAACACTGAAGCAGCGAACTTTGTGAAGACCAATACTTGTGTCATTCTCAAAACTTTTGACCACGACTGTATGTCATGGAAAGAGCAGGTTTTCTTAATGTTTTGTATACTCGTTGTTGGTGTGGGATGTGGGGATCCGTGGGTGACTTTGGATTTCTCATGTCTTACTCATTGTAAAAAATAAAAATAATAATGGTTCAAATCGGATGTTAAGTATTATATTTATTGAATATTATATTAATCTAAAATAAAATGGCCAATTTGGGTGCAATCAATTAGCTTAATTGCTCAGAGATCAAATTATATTTAAACAAATTAATGTTGCAGGAATGCTAATCTTATATGTTTCTAACAACATAAACAATTTCAGAACAATCTGAGATGGTGGGTGTCGAAATCCTCTTTCTTGTGCTTTTTGAGGTGGAACGATCCGAGAGCGAGTGTTACAGATATTTGGGTAATGGGAGGCCAAACTTTAAATTATTAAATGCATACCAGAATAATCTATCTGTGTGCTGTGGAGATACGGCCACCAGATATGATTCCAATACAGTAGGGTGGGATTGCCCCTCAATGCTGATCTAGGGTCAGTTTGGTATTAACCTCCACATGTGATTCCAATAGGCCTCATAAGCAGGCATTATAAATAACCCAAAACCCCAAACTGGTTCGCCAGGGTTCTGACTGGTGAAAGCAACTAAACTTTCATTAGTTACAGTTGAAGTCGGAAGTTTACATACACTTAGGTTGGAGTCATTGAAACTCGTTTTTCAACCACTCCACAAATTTCTTGTTAACAAACCATAGTTTTGGCAAGTCGGTTAGGACATCTACTTTGTGCATGACACAAGTAATTTTTCCAACAATTGTTTTACAGACAGATTATTTCACTTATAATTCACTGTATCACAATTCCAGTGGGTCAGAAGTTTACATACACTAAGTTGACGGTGCCTTTAAACAGCTTGGAAAATTCTGATAGGCTAATTGACATCATTTGAGTCAATTGGAGTTGTACCTGTGGATGCATTTCAAGGCCTACCTTCAAACTCAGTGCCTCTTTGCTTGACATCATGGGGAAATCAAAAGAAATCAGCCAAGACCTCAGAAAAAAATGGTAGACCTCCACAAGTCTGGTTCATCCTTGGGAGCAATTTCCAAATGCCTGAAGGTTCCACGTTCATCTGTACAACAATAGTACACAACTATAAACACCATGGGATCACACAGCCGTCATACCACTCAGGAAGGAAACGCGTTCTGTCTCCTAGAGATGAACGTACTTAGGTGCGAAAAGTGCACATTTTTACTAGGATTAAATGTCAGGAATTGTGAAAAACTGAGTTTAAATGTATTTGGCTAAGGTGTATGTAAACTTCCAACTTCAACTATATATCATGAAGTAGATTCATAGCGTGAAATGCATAGTGCGAAATTCAATGTTGTGCTTTATTTTATGGTCCGCTAGACTATTTACTAAATATTTACATAGAAATGACATGGTAATCATTAAATACCATTTGGTTAATATAATTACATTACAGATCATTAGGAATAACCCTGATTTCTCTATCCCCGTCTCTCCTCTAGCTCCTAGCCGAGGATTGGCCGTTTGGTGTAGGTCTGTGTAAACTAGTGCCGTTTGTCCAGAAAGCTTCAGTGGGTATTACTGTGCTGAGCCTGTGTGCTCTGAGCATTGACAGGTATGCTAACGCACACACACACACACAATTGTATTTATTGACTACACAGAGAAAGTTGCCCTAATGTTCCTCCCCCTCCACTCCTACCCCAGGTACCGGGCAGTAGCGTCGTGGAACCGTATAAAGGGGATCGGTGTTCCGAAGTGGACGGCTATAGAGATCGCACTCATCTGGCTGCTGTCCATCCTGCTGGCTGTGCCCGAGGCTATAGCCTTCGACATGATTGCCATGGACTACAAGGGAGAACACCTCCGCATCTGTCTGCTACACCCGATGCAGAAATCAGACTTCATGAGTGTACATAGACACACACATGAATACACACACATACAGTACGCACACAAGAAAGAACTGCACACATGCACATTGAACGCACACATGCACACAAACAACAGTAGGCTATAGGGAGTGTCCCTGGCTGGGGTCTGGTGTGGGAAAGCTGCAGTTGTGTGTTGACTCGCACCTTGTGCTCACTCTGATCAAAATAAATCATATGACTTTTGAGGCCCCTGTTTGTCTGGATAAGGTGGTTTGAGTGTGTTTATGTGTGTTGTCACAAGTGCATGTGCATCTCAGAGAGACCAATAGATGATAGGTTGAACTTGTGTAGTCGTCCCAAATAAGTTTTAGATGAAGTGATAGTTGATGTGTTCCCAGAAGTGAACTCATAGACCCTTTTGGTCTGCTTGAGGTTACTCCTCACGCTTCTTCACTTCCATCATACTTCAGCATTAGGGTTTGGCTCCCAACTAACTTCCAAGGCTATAGAACGAGTCAGAGTCAGATTTCCTCTACAGTCCATGTCTCTTTCTAATGGGTATTTTGCATTGTGAACCGCAATAGACTTAAACAGAGTATCCATTTATCCGGTGTGCCCTGTATTTATTGGTGTTTTCATTGTGTTCTTCCAGTTCTATAAGTCAGCTAAGGACTGGTGGCTGTTCAGTGTGTATTTCTGCCTCCCTCTGGTCGTAACCGCCATCTTCTACACCCTGATGACTTGTGAGATGCTGAGGAAGAAGAACGGAGTTCAGATCACCCTGAGTGACCATCTCAAACAGGTAACCTCCCTCTTCACCCTTTATTTTCAGCCTAAATCATTTAGAATGTATCTTTAATTATGAAGGGCACTGTAGCCAGAGAGTGTGATTAATTGATTAGTTGGCTGATTGATTGATCCCTCTCTCTATCTGTGTGTGTAGAGGCGTGAGGTGGCTAAGACAGTGTTCTGCCTGGTGCTGGTGTTTGCTCTATGCTGGCTGCCTCTCCATCTCAGCCGCATCCTCAAGCTCACTATCTATGACGAGAAGGACCCCAACCGCTGTGAACTGCTCAGGTGAGGAATATCTTTGTGCCCCACCCCCGCTACACTGACCTTAATATTGTAAATAGGAGGTTAAAAAGGATGTTGTGTGTGTTTCTCCAGTTTCTTCCTGGTTCTAGACTACATAGGGATCAACATGGCATCTGTTAACTCCTGCATCAACCCCATCGCTCTCTACATGGTCAGCAAGCGTTTCAAGAGCTGCTTCAGGGTAGGACACACACACAGCATCTTTACAGCGTGCTAAATAGGGTTAACCCTAATGGGCTTATATGTATGTACAATAACTAATTAATTCTCTCTCTCTCTCCCTCTCTCTCTAGTCATGCCTGTGTTGCTGGTGTCTGCCAGCGGAGATGTTGATGGATGAGAAGCAGTCCTGTATGAAGCTCAAAGTCACAGACCGGGCCTCCGACCAGAGCAACTCACGTGCTACTAACAAGTACACTTCAGCATGAGAAGTACTCAATGAAGTACCGTATGATGAGCTCTAAAGGACTAACTGAAGATCAGTTATATAACCTGATCCTGACTTAAACCATTATGAGACGGCCATAAGATGTGTCCTAAGATGTACCCTTATTAAGTTGATGTAGTTTTAAACCACTAGGATAAAATCAGTGCCCTAAAGGACTGATCCGGCGAAGTCTCCTCTGACTGGAGTACTCAAGTGTTCTTAAACCCACAAGTGCACTTTGAGTGTTGCTTATGAAAGTTAATGGTCTAGGACAGGGGTCGGCAACAGGCGGCCAGTTGGCCAAAAACCGGCCCGCAAGTAAAATAAATTGGGCCCCTCAACGTTTTTGGTCAGAATAAACTGTTAAATCGCCAGAACTTCAGCTAGAAATGAGTTGAATTTATGAAAATCTGTTAATTTAGGAAATCTGTTCCCAAGTATTCCCACAAATAAAAAAAGAGACGTGATCGTGTCTCAATGTAATCAAGGTATGAAATGATTGTTTTTTATTCCAAATCTCTTTTTGGGCTTAGTTGTGGTCAGTTTGCAGTGTACAAATTATTATAATTATGTTCCGGCCCCCCAACCATCCGCTCCGACAAAAATCGTCCCGTGGCTGAATCTAGTTGCCTACACCTGGTCTAGGATGTGTAGCTGGAAGAGTGTTGATGGAGAAGTGGATCATTTGGGGAAAGATGAGTGGGGAGATAGAGGTTCAACGCATACAATCGGATATTAGTATTATTGATGATGAATGACACAACATAGGGTGGTTATATTGTAGAGAAATGACACTGCCGGGTGTGGCTGCTCCTGGTTATAACATCTATATGAATGTTCATAAGATACATGACATAAGGCAAATCCAAAGGGGCTGTAGCAGAGGCGTCATAGTGAAAATGACTGAGTTGAGCCATAGGGAACATTATATGAACATTGCAAGAAGGTTGTTAATTGTACTGTATAATATATGGGCTGCTTTTCTAACATATCCCATATACCACTCTGAATTCAAGGACTTAAGATTGAATTCATTTTCATAGATTTGCTGAATTGCTTTTACACTGTTTGATACTGATATTTGATCTTTATAGGATTTTCATTGGATATTTTTTTTATTTTATTTTTTTTAAATTGTTTTTAGGGGGGATGGATCAGCTTAATATTGCAGATACAATCTATCTTCTATCAATGTAATTGTCTGCATCACTTCCAATCCCCCATGTTTATTTTTATTTTTTATATATATATTCCCCTTTATTACTTTTCAACCCCACCATCCTTTCCCTACTTGGAGTAAATTAGTGAACAACAACGCCCAGGCCTCTACTTCCGGTCTATACTTACTATCTACACCTTATGGACAGAGTTAATTTTACAATAATTCTATATCTATATATATATATATATATATATATTATTTATTTATTTTTTTGCTCCTGAACTTCTTCTACTCTCAACCTCTCCGATCATTTTCATGATGTCCATCCGGTTTGCTTCTAAATGCCATATCTTTCTAACTGTGCTCTTTCCCAAAAGCTCCCAACATACAACCTATATACTTATTATGGACACAGTATGCTTACATTATTAGCTATCTTTGTTATTATTTGTTGTTACTTGTTATTAGTCCCATCCTTCAACTCTATTCAATACCTCCCATCTATCTCTTAACACCATCCATATAGGATTTCTATTTGCCATATATATTTCAACCGTACTGTGATGTTTTACAAAAGTTCTGAACCTTTCTATTCTCATTGCTTCTACAGATTGTGAATTAAAAATAAACATTTTTGCTAAAAGTATTATTATATTATTGATTGATTGACTATGACTTTTCAGATCACCCAGTAATGCTATCTGCAAGGTTAGTTCCAGGTAAATATTGCAATCCTTTAGCCATTCCTGGACCTGTGTCCAAAAACAAGCTACAAATGGACAGAACCAAAACAAATGATCTAATGATTCTATCTCTTCACAGCAAAATCTGCAGAGCTGGGAAGATTGTATCCCCCATATAAATAACATTCTATTGGTAGCAAGAATTTTATATAATAATTTAAATTGAAAGATTCTAATTTTTGAATCCGGTGTCGTTTTGCGTGTCAGTTCATAAACACTATGCCATGGGATCGGTACGTCAAAGATCTCTTCCCAACTATTTTGCAATCTATATGGGACGGCTGTCAATCCTTTGGTCCTTAAGTGAAACTGATATACTTTTTTATTTATCACAGTTTTCCTTAACCAATTATGTTCTTTAATGCAAGGCCGACAGACAAGTTCCTTACTTTCTCCCCCTTCAACTTTCCTCTTCCACTTTTGCGGTAAGGCCTGCAATTATTTGGTTGTAATTTTGGGTAGAGCGGACATTTCCATATGATTTTGTTAGCTGCATGTGCGACATAACTCCACCAGTCCTACCGAATATATAATTTACAAAGATTATACCTTTTTAAAAACATTTTGTCAAAAAAAAAGTTTTTTTGTCAATTAGTATATTTGAGTTTAACCAGAATATTTGTTGCATTATTTGTTCTGTCGTTTCTGGAGGATTAAATTGAATTTGCAATACTTGGATAGTTTGCTATAGCATCTTTGAATGTTTGATTATAATAATTAATTAACTTATAATTCACTGTATCACAATTCCAGTGGGTCAGAAGTTTACATACACTAAGTTGACTGTGCCTTTAAACAGCTTGGAAATTTCCAGAAAATGATGCCATGGCTTTAGAAGCTTCTGATAGGCTAATTGACATCATTTGAGTCAATTGGAGGTGGACCTGTGGATGTATTTCAAGGCCTACCTTCAAACTCAGTGCCTCTTTGCTTGACATCATGGGAAAATTAAAAGAAATCAGCCAAGACCTCAGAAATAAAATTGTAGACCTCCACAAGTCTGGTTCATCATTGGGAGCAATTTCCAAACGCCTGAAGGTACCACGTTCATCTGTACAAACAATAGTACGCAAGTATAAACACCATGGGACCACGCAGCCGTCATACCGCTCAGGAAGGAGACACGTTCTGTCTCCTAGAGATGAACATACTTTGGTGCGAAAAGTTCAAATAAATCCCAGAACAACAGCAAATGACGTTGTGAAGATGCTGGAGGAAACAGGTACAAAAGTATCTATATCCACAGTAAAATGAGTCCTATATCGACATTACCTGAAAGGCCGCTCAGCAAGGAAGAAGCCACTGCTCCAAAACTGCCATAAAAAAGCCAGACTACGGTTTGCAACTGCACATGAGGACAAAGATCGTACTTTTTGGAGAAATGTCCTCTGGTCTGATGAAACAAAAATAGAACTGTATGGCCATAATGACCATCGTATGTTTGGAGGAAAAAGGGGGACCTTGCAAGCCGAAGAACACCATCCCAACCGTGAAGCACGGAGGTGGCAGCATCATGCTGTGGGGGTGCTTTGCTGCAGGAGGGACTAGTGCACTTCACAAAATAGATGGCATCATGGAAGGAAAATTATGTGGATATATGGAAGCAACATCTCAAGACATCAGTCAGGAAGTTAAAGCTTGGTCGCAAATGGGTCTTCCAAATGGACAATGACCCAAGCATACTTCCAAAGTTGTGGCAAAATGGCTTAAGGACAACAAAGTCAAGGTATTGGAGTGGCCATCACAAAGCCCTGACCTCAATCCTATAGAACATGTGTGGGCAGAACTGAAAAAGCGTGTGCGAGCAAGGAGGCCTACAAACCTGACTCAGTTACACCAGCTCTGTCAAGAGGAATGGGCCAAAATTCACCCAACTTATTGTGGGAAGCTTGTGGAAGGCTACCCAAAACATTTGACCCAAGTTTAACAATTGAAAGGCAATGCTACCAAATACTAATTGAGTGTATGTAAACTTCTGACCCACTGGGAATGTGATGAAATAAATAATTCTCTCTACTATTATTCTGACATTTCACATTCTTAAAATAAAGTGGTGATCCTAACTGACCTAAAACAGGGAATTTTTACTAGGATTAAATGTCAGGAATTGTGAAAAACTGAGTTTAAATGTATTTGGCTAAGGTGTATGTAAACTTCCGACTTCAACTGTAGGGCCTCCTGTAGCTCAGTTGGTAGAGCATGGCGCTTGCAACGCCAGGGTTGTGGGTTCGTTTCCCACGGGGGGCCAGTATGAAAAATGTATGCACTCACTAACTGTAAGTCGCTCTGGATAAGTGTCTGCTAAATGACTAAAATGTAAATGTAAAATGTAGCTGTTTCCCTAAAACTACTGATCTAATTGGGTCTGACTTCATGTGAGGCAATCATAAATGGCAACACATTCCAAACATTATCACAATAGGTTTATGGCAAAAACAGTTCAGAGATTCTCTCACGTAGGATTCTTTTAGTATTCTGTAGCTTTGTGGACTGCCACCCAATTGTAAAAACAGATTGATTTCTTATGCTTTAATGGCGAGAATGACAAGCCAAGAGACGGTTATTGGGGAGTTGGGTGAGAGGGAGGGGAAAGGATACATTTGAAGTTGTTTTTGTCTTCATATGCCTTGTAGTTTTGTGTTTTTCTTCCTTAAATAGTAAGGGATCTGTTGCTGTGTTATTGAACATGGAGCGCTCTATTGATGCTGTTGTACACTGAGTGTACAAAACATTAAGAACACCTGCTCTTTCCATGACACAGACTGACCAAGTTAATCCAGGTGAAAGCTATGATCCCTTCATGTCTCAATCAGTGTAGATGAAGGGGAGGAGACAGGTTAAAGAAGGATTTTTTTGCCTTGAGACAATTGAGATGGATAGTGTATGTGTGCCATTCAGAGGGTGAATGGGCAAGACAAAAGATTGAAGTGCCTTTGAACGGGGTATGGTAGTAGGTGCCAGGCGCACCGGTTTGAGTGTGTCAAGGACTGCAACGCTGCTGGGTTTTTCACGCTCAACAGTTTTGAGTATGTATCAAGAATTGTCCACCACCCTAAGGACGTCCAGCCAACTTGACACTGTGGGAAGCATTGGAGT